TCTGTCCGTCCGTCTGTCCGTCCGTCTGTCCGTCCGTCTGTCCGTCCGTCTGTCCGTCTGTCCGTCCATCCGCACCTCTCCATTAGCCAGTCTGAACCTGTCTGTCCATCCGCCACTCCGTCTGTTTGGCCGTCGCTCAGTCTGTGCGGCCGGCCGTGCAGTGTTCACGACCTCTGTGATAATGTTCTATAGTGCTAATTTTCTATAACCTATAATGTTCTGTAAAATGCCCAAGTGTTTTGCAGTAACATGACGGGTGCAAAAACGTCAAGTGAACCTGACGGACACTGATCCAACCAGGACACCATCGAAAAAATTTTCTGCACACAACAATGTATGTTTTCCGAGTTGGCGACTGTTATACGATATTTCATGCTACAAAAGTGAGCAGACTGATTATTAAACAAGTACTCTCTCTCTCTCTTTCTTTCCGTCTCTCTCTTTCTTTCCGTCTTTGTGCGCAAATTGATTTTGATTCATGTTGCGCAAAATTCTTTATTTAATATACATTTTCATTGAATGTGAAAACGTGATAGTGTCCTTTGATTCCGAATTAAAAATTATCATACCGTTGTTAAATGCTTGCTTACTTATGTCTACAAACATGCATCCTTCGTTGTCTCCCTCTCTCGTTCTGTGTATCCCTCTCTCTCGGTCATTCTGATTTAATATTAGAATATGTATGTGTACACCTACAATAATGTTATAAACCTTTTTCTAAATAATATTTTGTATAGATGCTCCTTAATCCTTTTGTTCCTCTTTACAGAGCTGTAATGTATGGATTCATACAGTTGAAACAAGACTTGAAAGGAAGTTTCACCTTTTTGGATACACTTTATTTTGGAGCACTCATTTCATCTACAGATCCCCTTACAATATTGGCAGTTTTCCATGATTTACATGTAGATGTTAATCTATATGCTCTTGTGTTTGGAGAAAGTGTTCTAAATGATGCAGTTGCCATTGTATTAAGTGGGTAAGTTACGTGTGCTTCAGTTATCTAAGTTAGTTTTCTATTTCAAATTATAATTTTTCTAAAATTGCAAATAAGGCGATTGCATTTCACTCTGTAGTTAAATGTATTTAGAAAAGTTTTTATTTACCTTAAGACATTACGACCTCATGACATTTTATGTCAAAAATTTTGTCAGGTTTGTAATGAAGATTTTCATTCTGGTTAATATTTCACTAAATTGAGTACTTAATTGTTGTGAATTTGTGTGTTCAGTGAGTGAATTTCTTTTGCAGAGCTATTCAGAATTATGGAGAGCGATATCAGTCAGGCTCTGGTGGCTTTGAAACCAATGCCTTCTTCAGAGCATTAGGTGACTTCATAGGAATATTTAGTTTATCATTACTTATTGGTGCATTGATGGGCTGTTTGACTGCAGTTGTATCCTTTACTGGCAAAATTAATCTAAATTTATAACTAAATGTTGAATTACTCTATTTTATATCCACTTTTCATTTAGTACGTTGTATAATTTAATTAATAAACTTCTAGAAATGAATTGATTTACTCGTATGATGCTATTAATACAAATAAAAATTAATAATTGAAATCAATGCAAAAAGAGAATAGATTTAAAAATCTTTCTATTATTTTTGCGTACCATAATATTTAATAACTCTATTTTTACGAAGTAGAAGGGTAATTATTAATTGCAAACAAAGAAACTCGAAAATACGAAATTTGATCTGTTCTGGTGTTTCTGAAATTTACATATATATTATAACATAAACGTATAAATTAAAAAATCGTGTAGTGTTTAAAATTGCCCCCTTATCATCATGTTCAATTTATCGCTCACAAAATATGGCCATTAAGGCCTTCAAACGAATTTGAAATTGTTGAACAAACGTTTCACCCATATAGAAGATATTAAACACTTATCTTCATCAAATAAGAGTTTTAAACGAAACATAAAATACGTATGTAGAGTACACAATGTTTAGGAGAGAGAAATACAGCCTCATTTCATTGCCAGTGGCGGATGAGAGTGCAGGATGCGGAACGATGCTCCCCTTAAATCCAACATTGTTTACGTTGCCTCTGTGATATCGTTGACCGGGAGGTCCCAGTGTTCCAGACCCAACGGTGGCGGATTTCCGTCATTGGCTAGATTGCTGGGTGGGATGCGGGTTGGGTGACGAATGAGAGGGGGGGTGCTGGGGCCATGCTCCCCGTAAGTCCAACATTGTTTACATTGCCTCTACACTATCGTTCACAGGGAGGTCCTAGTGTTGGAGACCCAACGGTCGCGGATTTTCGACATAAGCTAGATTGCTGGGTCGAATTCAGCCACTGTCTTGAGGAGAATTGTAGAGGCTGGCTACTGTGATTAATTTTCCGTGGTTTCTCCGATTATTCCCAGACGAATGCCTCACAATCAGCCGCCTACGATCATTCATTCCTCAATCTTGTCCATTCTTCCCCCTTACAAGAGAGAACGAGATAGTTGTTGCCAGCAAACAACGCCTGACTCTTATTAGAGACTCTTCGCAGGAGATTACTTAAGGTGGTCCATAACAGTGATAGACCTCCACTTCCCCATACAGGGACGTAGACCGGGAATCTGGGTGGTTGGAAGAAGGGTTTCATACACACACACACGCCCATTTAATCCACGACACCATCGCAAACGAGTATATTGGAATTCCAGTCGGCATGTCCGCTGGGACGGTTCCCCACAGGGAAATTACCTGAAACATAAATCCTCAAGGCGACGCGGAGGGCGAAGTTTCACAAGTACATTCTCAATTGTGTGTCCCTACTAGAGGGATAGTGTATATTTCTTGGCGGGGTGCAGGATGTGCGATAAGGCAGTTGTCAGTCAGAAATATTCACGAGATTTCGATTGAGTTTCGCACGGGCTCTTCGAACTATGAGCAAGCATGTGGTTGCGATTATTTCATCTTTGCAAGTATTAGTGCTTTCTTGATTCCGAGTACGCCATATCCGAGAAGCAGGGAGTAAGTTGGACTATTAAGGTTTGTAAGACATAGAAGCACAGTATTACTTTGCTTGATGCACACAAAGACTATTCCAGTAACAATTATTTGCAAACTGTAGTTGAAATATTTCGTTTCGACATGCAAATATATAGAAAGATCAAGTATGTAACGGTATCAATCGGTGTAAAAACATGTGAAATAAAAATAGTTTTAATGCATTCGGAATATGATGCAAACTCTAACAAAATTATTGAATGCATTTATCTTCTACCAGAAAAATATGTATTTACATTAAAATGCTTTTTCTTTTTATAATAATACAACCTACACATGTTATTCTCTGAGAAATTGTTTTCTATATTTTAATCACCAATAGGATGAGTCTTACTTTTTTATTTGCAGATTTGTAGTTCTTCTTCACTAAAGTTGCTTTGCTATTTTCCTTAAACATTATTTAGGTTACAAAGTTTACCAGAGTTCGAGACTTCCCGCTCCTGGAGTCTGCTCTGTTTGTACTGATGTCATACAGTACATTTCTAATTGCCGAAGCATCAGAACTAACAGGTTAGTGGTATGTGAATTTTGCGGAACACATAAGTTTTATTTGATTGTTTTATTGTATTACATTTGGACATTTTTAAACATTCTGGGACAGATGGTTGTAAATCACGTTAGAATGAAATTGAATTAAAAGGTAAAATGTGTTAAATCATACCTGTAACTTTATGAAGTCTTTAACAAACATTTTTTTGTCAAAAATTGATACTACTTGTGGAGACACGAAGTGGAAGACTGAATACTATTTAGATGTTAATATCTCTATTTTTGTCAACATGTGGAATAGGATTATCTGGTCCCAAGCCCTTTAATTCATAGTCATGGAAGCATCAACATTTTTTTTTCTTAAATTGGAATATATAACTTACAAAGTCTGAAAGATGTTATCTAGGAGTAGAACATAAAATTATGGTAAATTTGAGGCGGAAAAGTTGTATACATTTGTTATTACCTCTTAAACTTACTAGACACATTATTTTTCAGGTGTTGTTGCAGTCCTGTTTTGTGGTATTTGCCAGGCTCATTACACTTATAATAATTTATCAGCAGACTCGAGATCTCGGACCAAGAAGTTATTTGAGCTGCTCAACTTCTTAGCAGAAAACTTTATTTTCTCATACATTGGAGTATCGATGTTTACATTTCCTAAGCATCGCTTTGACATAGGCTTTATTGTTATAGGATTTGTATCCTTTTATAAACTTTTTAAAATTATTATTTGGTATGATTGTTCAATTATCACAGTGATCGATTTATTTATGTTGCCAACATTTTCAGTTTTATGTAGTAGCGGATATTAGGAATCATGTTTTCAAGATAATTCTGCATAACTGACGAATTTCTTTTTGAAAATATTTTTCATAATTTTATCGGTCGATCGCACATACAGTGGAAGCTTCGGGCGTGTCCAGCCGGTTTGATTTTTCTAATATTTTTTTTCTTTTATGCTAAATAGAAAATGTATTTTTATTTGTTGACCTCGTGTTAATATTTAGAATGTTAACAATTAAAATATTCAATGACTTTTGTTATGTTCATCATACGATATATCAGGCCTGCAGATGAGAGTGAGTTATTCATGAATGCCTGTGCAAGCATGAAATATTAAGCAAATCAACTGAAATGTGAGAAAATAATATAAGGTGTACTAGCTGGACCTAAGCGAACATTCGACACGTTGTAAATCTTCGTTTAAAAAGTGAAAATTGCTCCATACTGTATGCTACTACCTGAATGGCCATCCCCTAAACTCTGTGTGACAGTATAATACGCCCTGTTTTGAGCGTGAGTAAACATTTTAATATTGCTCAGCGTTGTGATTAAATTTACGGAAAGTACTTAAGTTCATCGTGGAATATTACTTCTCTTTATTCCTTCAACTTTACATGAACTGTGTGTTACTCTTCGTATCTGACCACCCATACTGTGTGATAGCGGTCCCAGAAGAGCTAAATCTCCAAAAATGTAAATGAAAGTTCCGAAGGCCTAATTAAGTAAGAATTCCATCGAAGGTTGGGAGCATTTGCTGGGATCTGACTGAGAAGCCAGTGGGCTGTTGATATTGCTCGTAGCTAGCAGCCAGCCCCTTCCACTTGCCTTTGATGTCTTTGTTATCAACTCGGAGGACCATCGCGTATTGTGACGAGGACGCAGGTACTATAAATGTTCGTACCTACAGAGGACATCGCTATTACTTTGGGAGAATTCAATAGGAATGTTCTCATTGATGAGAAAAAACATGTAATTAAAACTAAGTCAAATACTTGATTATAATTGATTACATCTAAGTTGAGAGCATTTATATCATCGCAGTAGCTGTAGGCATGTGCAGTTGAAGACTGGTTCAATTGGTTACAATTAACATTGAAAGATTGTAATGGCCCTGAACATTTACAGTTGAAGACTGTATTGGTTGCAGTTAGCACTTCACGTGAGTTCAGATGTGCAACAAAGCATAATACACTAGTGCTGCAATGTGAAACACTAGTGCTGCAACATTGAATTCAAACAGAATCCTGATAATACAGCTTAGCCTTGAAGATAGAAATTATGTGAATTATAACTGGCAACTGCAGGAAATTACTTGAAAGCCTCGGCAGCGGGCACAATTGCACAATTTAATACCTACATTTAATTAACATGAATATTTGGATAAGCAATACTGGCCTTCGGGCACATTTACATTAACTCATTTACATTCTAGTATTTACAAATTGTCTTGCATGAGTGAAAATGACATCAAATGAATTAAGTTGGAATGCCGTGTGGTTACAAGATCTACGTCAGGTCCTGAATCTCCCAATCCCAACGTCATCGGATTGGAGGTTTCATTCCGAAAACTGTTATGTTGAAGATTTAAACTTAAATACACAAAAGGACGTCACTGAAGACAGATTTCGGTGGAACGTCGTGCCTTTGCCTTTCTTTGCCTCGCTCATGCTCTTTCAATATTGAAAAGAGTCCACCATAACATTTCGAAGTCAGCGTATCAAGTAAAATAGATTTGCAGTCATCATACCAGGTGATTACGGGGGATTAAGATTGCAAAGAAAGATAATTTTCTTTCACTTAAGTGTTAACGTAAATGTTAAAGTAATGATCAATATTGTGTTTAAAAGAAAATTAAGTTACATGATTGGTAGACACAACGTAAAAAGTTGCTTGTTCTTTCAAAGCAGCAGTAGCATAATTTTTCTCTTCTATAAACGTGTGTGTGTTTATTTTGCTCCTAATAAACAGTGTGTTCAAATTAGGTGCATGAATCCTAATTTGAATGAAGGTGTATTTAGCCAGAATAATTGCCTTTTGCCTGACTATTTTAGGTAAAATAAATGCCTGAACTTTCGGGCTCTAGTTATGATCATACTCGTTCACATTCTAGTTATGCTGATGATAATGGAACTGGATATCTCCTCATAATTTTATAAACGAGTAATTTTCGTGGAAATACACATTTCTGTATGGAGGCAAGGAATTTTACTGAACTAACTGAATATTTTCTCTAAAGTCGTAAAATTATTTTTTTCAATGTCCTATCTCCGTTTAATTTGTGTTGTGTTTGGTATGTTAAAGAGCATGGCATGTATCTCCAGATACTGATCGCTTGTCAGATTTCGTGCTGAACTGTAAATAATAAGCAGATTGATGATTTAATTCTTGACTATTTAATAGATTTGTGCAATGTTGGGTCGAGCTGTGAATATTTATCCTCTCTCTTTCATCTTGAATCTTGGACGTAAGCCACAAATTCCGTGGAACTTTCAACATATGCTCTTCTTTGCTGGTAAGTATTTTTTATCTGTATTTTACAATGTTATATAATTAAAAATGAACTATATATAATAACTTTTGAATAGATGAAAAAATTAAAGTATATTTTTTTTCATTCTTATTTTTTTACTGATCTGTGTCTTTGTCAGTATCTCTCTATTTCTGGGAGTCTATTTGTCCCTCGCCGTCTCTGTCTCTCTGCGTCTCTCTTTCAATGTCTGCTGTCTACCTCTACCTCGGACCGTTCCTACCTGTCTCATCTGTCTCCTCTCTATCTTACTATCTCTGCCGCTTTCTCTCTCTCTCTCTCTCTCTCTGTCACTCCGTCTCGGGCGCTATCGCTCTCCCCGTCACCCTCTTCCCCTCTCCCTCTCTTCCCCTCTCCCTCTCTTCCCCTCTCCCTCTCTTCCCCTCTCCCTC